ATGACATGAGACAAAGTATATGTGAACTGCTGTATGAAAAGTGAATTTACTCTGTAAATCTTCACCCAAATCCTAATAAAAAAAAAAAAAGAGAATGTTTCTGCCATCTTTTGCAAGAGGGTATAGTATCACTTTTAAACAAGGTAATGGAGTCCTTTTTGGTTTGAAAAAAATTATTTTTAATCAGACAGCAATATAATAAATAATACAACATACATTCATGTACTTAACACCCAGCTTAAGAAATTAAGCATAACCAAAGCAGTCTAAGACCCTTGTGTAGTTTTCCCCATATTGCATCCCCCTTCTCTGCTCCCCAGAGGTAATAATCACAATACTGAAATCATTGCTTATTAATTTACATCCATATCTTTATATTTCTTCTCATACATACGTAGCCATTAACAAATAGTATTTTTCAATTTCAAATAAATGGAAACATGAAGCTTTTCTGTGTCAGCATTATGTTTGTGATACATAGTTGCATGTTATGCATACAAGTCATGCATGACTTACGACATTTACTTATTCAGCTTCTGCTTTATGGGCCTTTAGGTTTTTGATTTTTTTTGCTTTTGACAGCAGGGCTGCTTGAAATGTTCTTGTATTTCCTGAGGCACAAGAGTAAAGGCTCTTTTGTATACCTAGAAGTAAAGTTGTGTGTCATAAAGTTTGTGCGTTTCTAGCTCTCCAAAATGCTCTCATGAGTTATACGTAAGAATAGGCCGCCTGTTGCTCCGGATTGTTGACAACTCTTAGTATTGTGCTAAAGGATAATAGACCCCAGACTCAAACATGTTCTATAAACCAGAAAAACCAAACTCACTGCCATCCAGTTGATTCCGACTCATAGCGACCCCCTTTGGGTTTCTGAGGTGGTAAATCTTCACGGAAGTAGATCGCCCAGTCTTCCTTCCACAGAGTGGCTGGTGGATTTGATCCACCAACCTTCTGTTAGCAGTTACATGCATTAGGCACTACGCCACCAGAGCTTCTAACACATTCTGTAGAGATCCTTTTATTAATAAGCCTTAGACAGGACAGAGGCATTCATCCAAGATAAGGGAAACCATCAGCATGTGCATAATACAGAAAGCTGAATTGAATTCACTGAGTCACAGCCATGGAGTTAATTATATATGATTGAAAACAAAGGGGATCATCACTAAATCTTGATTGGTGGTGATGGGTTCATCACCGACACAGGTGGGACTACAGAAATGGGAAAAAAGACCATAATTGGGATGCATACAAAATTGAGCATTAAAAAGATTACAGGATTGGCTTTGGGTCTTGACCACCTGGCTGCCTGGTGATCCAGATGTAACTCAGGACCATGTATCCTGAATCATAGCCACAAAGTTGCTATAAGACAGTATCAGGACCCCAACTTAATTTAAATCGTTGCTGTTGTTATGTGCTGTTAAGTCGGACCCGACTCATAGTGACCCCTCCTTGGGTTTTCAAGGTGGTATCACTACGGAAGTAGATTGCCCAGCCTTCTTTAGATAAGGACATATCTAGACAAGTCCCCAAGTTTTTTTGTGAACAGTCTACTTTCAACCACACTCTTCCTGAGGACAGACTGTTCCTCCCTGGGTTTGTCCTGGAACTTGTCTATGGTTAGCCACAATGTTGGTTTAAAGGTTGGAAAGGACTCAAATGGCATCTGAATTTATGTTAAGACTCAAAATGGAGTTAGAGTTCCAGCTGTGGACTACTTCCTTCCACAACCCAAATGCTTTAGAAATTTAAGTCCTAATACAGTGTTACTGGACTCTTTAAAGTTTTGCCACCCACATTATAAAACATTTCCATCACCCTGGAAAATTCCCATATGCCTCTTTGCAGAAAATTCCTTCTCTGTACCCTCAGCCTCTGACCACCACCACTAATAAGCTTTCTGTGACTGTTATTTTGCCTTTTCTAGTTTATATAATTGGAATTTTGTTGTACATTGTCCTTTGTATCACTTAGCATACTGATTTTGAGGTTCGTCCATATTTCTTTTTATTGTTGAGTACATTTTATTGTATAGATGTACCACAATTTATTCATTCACCAATTGATGGATATTTGCGTTTTTTCCAATTTGGGGTTCATATGAAGAAAGCTGCTATAAACATTTGCCAGCAAGTCTTTGTGTGGATATATGTTGTTACTTGTCTTGGGTAAATACCTAGGAGTAGAATTGCTAGGTCATAGGGTAAGCTGTATGATTAAACTTTACTAGAAACTGCCAAACTATTTTTCCAAAGTGGCTATGTGCCATTTTACAATCTCACCAACAAAGTAAGAGAGTTCTAGTTCCTCAGCAACCCTTGGTATGGTCAGTCTTTTTCATTTTAGCCATTCTGGTGAGTTTGAAAGAGCCCTAGTGGTGCACTGGTTAAGTGCTCAGCTGCAAACCAAAAAGTCTGCAGGTTGATCCTACCAACCATTCCATGGGAGAAAGATGTGGCAGTCTGCTTTTGTAAAAGAAGTACAGCTTTGGAAACCCTATAGGGGCAGTTCTGCTCTGTCCTACAAGGTCACTATGAGTTGGAATCGGTTTGATGGCAGTGAGGGGACTGAGTGTGTGGTGATACCTCATTGAGTTTTCTTAATGTTGAATAATCTTGAGTGTCTTTTTGTGTGCTTAGTTGCCATCCATATATCTTTGGTGAAATGTTTGTATGAATCGTTTGCCCATTTTTTTTAACTGGGTTTTGTGTCTTTTTATTGAATTGTGAAAGTTTTTAATATATTCTGCATACAAGTCCTTTGTTGGTTTTATAGTTTACAAATTGTTTTTCTCAATCTGTGAGTTGTTTTTATTTTCTTAACAGTGTCTTTTGAAAAGGACAAGTGTCCTAATTTCAAGGAAATTCAGTTTATCATTTTTTTAATATATGTGTGCTTTTTATATACCATTGACGTTTTAGCCTAAACCAAGGATACTAAGATTATTGCCTGTTTTTTTTTTTTTTTTCCCTAGAAGTGTTAACAGTTTTAACTCTTACTGCTGAGTCTTGATCCATTTCAGGTTAAGTTTTGTATATATTGTGAGGTAAGAGTCAAGATTCTTTTTGCATCTGAGTATCCAATTGTTCCAGCATCATTTATTGAAACTATTAAATACGATTTTACTTTCTGCTTTTTTGAATAATGTTTTCCTTTATGATTTTTGCTTTTTGTTTCTATATAAGAAATTATTCTGTACACCAAGGTTATAGAACATAGAAATTGCAGTGTTGTGTGTAAGAGCAGGGTCTCTGGAGTCTGACTAGCTGAATTTGAATCCGGATTCCACCACTTACTATCTGTATGACTTTGGGCAAGTTTTTTAACTTCTTTCAGCCTCAGTTTCCTCATCTATAAAATGAGACTAATAATAGTCTTTACCTCAGGGTTATTATGAGAATAAAAATGTAATGCATTTGATGTGCCTGACAGAAACACTATCTATACATGCATACATACAAGGAGCTCTGGTGGCGTAGTGCTTAAGGCATTTGGTTACTAACCAGAAGGGCAGTGGTTCAAACCCAGCAGCCACTCTGCAGAAGAAAGATGAGGCGTTCTGCTTCTGTAAAGATCTACAGCCTTGGAAACCCAATCGGGGTCGCTATGAGTTAGAATCGAGTCAGCGGCGGTCAGTTGGGTTTTTGGTTTTATACATATATTAGTTGTTGTATTGTGATGGTGGTTGTAATCATCATTACACACACACACACATAATAGTATATATAAAAACGTTTATTTATTTTGGTGAGTGTACTTGTATAATTTCTAAGATTTTTTTCATGGAAATTCTGTCATTTAATGTTGGAGTTTCATTTTGTGGCCTGCAGAAGACTTGGTTTTATGGGAATGAAATGATCAAATGTGAAAGTCTTCTTTAATGTTTCTTTATTTTGCAGCTAGTGGTGGTTGGCAGGAACCTGAAAATCCTCACACACAGAGGGTAAGTACAAGGTTATCAGAGAGAAAGGAAATAAGGAAAAATGGAGAAAAAGACTGAATATCTTCTATTTTGTTAATGGATATGATCTATGCTTAGAATATGTATTGTGTTATTTGTTACACATAGTAAGTGCCTCTTACTGTAAGACATTAAATGGCAGTTTTTTCCAGTCTGACTTAAATTAGGTAGAAGCTAGGTGTAGTTTTAGTTCTGTACTTGAGTTGTGAATCAGAACAAGAGAACAAGTTATGTTTTTGTTTTTTCTCCACATACCTCCTAACTGAGTTAAGGTTCTATTTGTTCTGAAATGCTCTTAGAAATATCATTAACGTGTAGTTACTTTAACTCCTGGAAACAACCACCTGTTTAGACGCAGTCCATGGACTCAGTGGTCGTTGCTTATAGGATCATGACTTTAAACATCCTGTAATAGTTCACAGTGAAATGTTCTGTGCAGGAAGTATTAGAGTTAATTATTTTCCCCTGAAGCCAGAATATGAGAAAGATGATGAACTGCTGTAGAAATGAAGTATGTACAATAATATAAATAACAATAATTTACAATTATTCATCTCAGAGATCAGCAAAAATTTGAAAAACCAAAAAATATCCAGAATCACAATGTGAGAAAATTAGGTCTTCTCGCATATGCTGTTACTGTATTAGTGTAAATTGGTGCAGAATTCCTGAGCTCTTGGCAGTATCTATATCACATTTATTGAAAACTTACGATGTGCCTACAGATTGTGTTAAACAATAGTGATAAGTCCTTGCCCTCATAGAGCTTATGTTTATTGGGAAGACAGAAATCAATAAAATAATTCACAGGTAAAGAAAACTTGTGATAAGTGATGATGTGTTGTTGTTGTTAGTTGCTGTCAAATTGATCAGGTAATGTGTAAACCAGAAAAACCAAACTCAGTGCCGTTGAGTCGGATCTGACTCATAGTGACCCCTCCTTGAGTTTCTGAGGCCGTATCACTACGGAAGTAGATTGCCCAACCTTCCTTCCGAGGAGTGACTGGTGGGTTTGAACCACCAGCCTTCTGGTTAGTAGTCAAATGCCTTAGGCACTACACCACCAGAGCTCCCAGATAATGTGTAGGAGAAATAAATTATGCCATGTAAACATTATCGGGGGAATGTCAGTTTGTTAGGTTGATAGCTGAGGATTACACTGAGATCTAAAGGTGACAAGTACAGAGGGGAAACTATCAAGGTAGAAAGAAAAGCATATGGGAAAACTTAAAGGTAGAAGCAAAGCAAGTTGTAGGCAAGAACCAAAAGAACGATGAGTATCACTAGAGTGGAGAATAGTATTAGGTGAAGGGAGAATGGTATTTGGAGTCAGACCAAGCAGAACCATGCAGAGTAAGTTAAGGAGTTTGGGACAACTTTAAATGTTTTCAAGCAAAGAGATGACAAGATCAAATTTATTAAAAAAATAATAATAATTGCTGCTGAATTGAGAGGAAAAGAGTGGGTACCATGAGACCATTTAAGAGATATTGTAGGAAATTGCTAAATTCCTTGTAGGGCATCATACTAGGGAGTAACTTGCAGTGTTTGAAAAGAGTGAAGTGTATCTGCTTGTACTAGATGGAAAGTATATTGCACTGGATGCAAAATTTATGATACTTAAGGTAAAAAACCATATCAAAACCAGACCCACTGCCATCGAGTTGATTGCATTTCATAGTGACCTCCATTGGGTTCCCAAGGCTATAAATTTTTATAGAAGTAGATAGCCTCATCTTCCTCCCATGGAGCAGCTGGTGGGTATGAACCACTGACCTACTCTACTGGTTAGGAGTCAAATGCCTTACCCCCTGGAGCCACCAGAGCACCTTGATGAAAAAATAAACTTACAAAATAACTTCATCCCTTGTTTATAAAAAATTTAAAAGCCCTGTGTTTTTTCATATCAAAGCTATATATCTATACACAGGTTTTAAATATGTGAAATATTACATTCTTAGAACTTAAATAGATCTCTGGCAATGCAGAAAAAGAAGGAGCAATAAGAAATGGGGAAATAGGTAATAAATGTAGTGAGAAGAGGGTATGAAATTCCCAAGCCTTTCCGTTTCCCATTTCTTATTAAACTTGGAGATTCCCTTTGAATTTTGAAAACAGATCATGTAATGAAGAGTAATCTCCTTGAAGGAAAAGGGCAAACTTGGCCACCATAATAATGTTGTCTTCTCTATTCATTATATGCCTCGTATAGTTGATTAATTTTGTATGTTTCCTGTGAAGTTTTTCATGAAAGAAATACTGAGTCTTTGGTTTCTTACAGATGAACAAACTGATTGAATATTACCAGCAGCTTGCTCAGAAAGAGAAAGTTGAACGAGATCGCAAGAAACTGGCACGACGTCGAAACTATATGCCTCTGGCATTTTCGGTGAGGTTTTGGTACAGAAAGGACTTTGCAGTTCATTGATTATCCTGTGTGGCATGAGAGTAGTGACCCTTTCAGAAAGTAATCCTTGTACCCAGGTTTCTGAATGGTGGGTAGCAGAGAGAGGTTCCTTGAGTTATAGATGTTTAAGTTAAGCAGTTATGCTTTTGCCATGTCATTAGTTTTATGACTTATCAGGACACTGATGTTTCTTTCTCCATCACTTCCCCATTTCTTCTGATTATTCCCAAAAGAAGCTACCGTTTATTCCCCACAGAAGCTATTATTTAATCTTAGAGGCACCACAGAACTCAACTATTTATAGCTTTTGATTATTACTTGAAGTCAGAAAAGAAGGTAGACCAGTGGTAGATTTTATTCATATTGCCCATGAAGTCCAGCTGTGACATACTGGTAGTGATGGATTCCCAGCTTCAGTGACCATGATTTTTTGGTCCCTTCTCATATTGCTTATTGAAAAACGCTGATTTTTACACAGTGCATATGTGTGATGAAATAAGTAGTAATATATACAAGTGGAATTTTTTTATACGAATTATTTATGGAAGTCATTCTTTACAAGCTTATATACTATCAATCAGAAGCAATAAAGTAGGATTTGAAGTTTATGTTATTGTCCCCAGGTTTTATTTGCTGTCACAGAACAAACTGTGTGCTTGCTTAGAGCCAAGCAAGTTGACATTTAATAAATAACATTTTTTAAATGCTGACAGTGTACCAAGCACTGTGCTAAAGCACTTTACTCATACTTTGTTTAATCCTCACAACAGTTCTGTGAGGTAGATGGTGTATCTCTATTTTACACTTGAGAAATGAGACCTGGGAAGGTTAAGTAACTTTGCACACTGCTTCCACATGAGAGTTGGTTAAGCGATTTGAAACTCTAAGGATTGGTAAGGTCCATATAAAAATATTTAGTTTCGAATTTGATCCAAACTTGCAAAGTACTTATATTTGCCAAAGACTTTAATGAAGTCTTAGTAAGTTTTTCCAGTGCTGTAATCAACTTATGCCCAAAAAAAGGCATAAATCCCACTGCCATTGAGTCGATTCCAACTCATAGCAACCCTTTAGGACAGAGTAGAACTACCTCATAGAGTTTCCAAGGCTGTAAATCTTTTACAGAAGCAGACTACCTCATCTCTCACCCATAGAGTGTCTGATGGGTTTGAACTGCCAACCTTTAGCTTAGTCCAGTGTTTTAACCCACAGCACCACTAGAGCTCCTTCATCAGCATATGCACTAGTGTATATTTAAGAGAAGAATTGTAATTAAATGCATTATTCTCCCAACTTTCCCATATAACCTGCCTGCTGAATGAGTTTGCTCCTATCTTATGCTGCATTTTTTTGTCTCTGTTGCAACCTGCTGCTATTTTGGGGCTCTCCACAGCAACACACTATTCATGTAGTGGTAAGTTCTCTTTTATGATTCTTGCTGATCCTGAAGAAGCGAGCAGATGGTAACTGTATTGCAGGAAGACGTTCGTTGTGTGCCTTAGACACTCCACATAGTTCTGACCTGAGCCATAGCTTAGATATTTTCATGCTAGTTTGGTCCATGTTTGGTGCTTTTATTATTATTTGAAGAACAGGATAATGATGCGAGGCTACATATTACTCTCTTTAAAAGCTTTTAAATTAGCTTTATTTTGCTTATTTCCCTGAGCTTCTCATGCTGTCCCTCCCAGAGTTTTTTGTTTGTTTGTTTGTTTTAAATAAATAGGTTGTATGAATACAGAGTTTCTAATAGGAATTTCTGAACTTTCTTTAGGACAAATATGGTCTTGGAACCAGACTTCAGCGACCACGAGCTGGTGCATCCATCAGTACCCTGGCTGGACTTTCGTAAGTTTGATATTAAAAAATGGCTTTGAGGAGAAATGAAGGAATAGGATAAAAATAAATGAGAAGGAATAGGATAAAAATAAATGAGAATTGTCAATGGGATGAAGATTTTCATACTTAGGAAAGATTAACCAGAGGACAAGATGTGACCTAAACAGAAATTACAAAGGAATATTTCAATTATTGATATCACAGACTTTGAAAATAAGCAGATAGACCCTTGAGAAATCACTGCTTTTTATCTTTTAGCCTTAAAGAAGGAGAGGATCAGAAAGAGATAAAGATTGAGCCAGCTCAGGCTGTAGATGAAGTGGAACCTCTACCTGAAGACTATTATACAAGACCAGTAAATTTAACAGAGGGTAATTTTATACGCTGTTCTACTTGTTTCTAATTTATTTCTACTTGTTTCTAATTTGTTCAACTCATGGAAGCTCTGTGTACAGTGGAACAAATATTGCCCAGTTCTATACCATCCTCATAATCATTACCATGCTTGAGCCCATTGTTGGAGCCACTACTTTTCACTAATTTGTTACTGTATATCTTGTCATCTGAAGTTTTTAATAGCTGTTAGTAGTAAAATGATCATTTTTGTTGTTGCTATGTGCCGTCAAGTCGGACCTGACTCCTAGTGACCCCTCCTTGGGTTTCTGAGGTGGTATCACTACGGAAGTAGATTGTCCAGCCTTCTTTCCGAGAAGTGGCTGGTGGGTTTGAACCACCAGCCTTCTGGTTAGCAGTCAAGTGCCTTAGGCACTATGCTACCAGAGCATAAAGAATATAATTGTTTGAAGAACCTTGACTATCAAATTTCTGTTGTAATTCTCTTTGAAGAACACAAAGGTGGCATTATTTCATGTAATTACTGACCATATATAAGTTTGATTTTGAGCAAGTTCTGTAAATTAAGCCTGGTTTCTTCCTTTTTTGCTAGTGACTACCCTTCAGCAGCGCGTCTTACAGCCAGACTTCCAACCAATCTGTGCTTCACAGCTCTATCCTCGCCACAAGCATCTTCTGATAAAACGGTCCCTACGCTGTCGGGTATGTGTTCCTTTCTGCAAAAGAGAAAAACAAAAATAAATGTGATTGATAACTAATCAGTGTAAAAACTTCTGAGATGTAGTAAAAAGAAAAAACACAGAGAATGTGTGAGGTGTTAATGAATTAAGAAAACAATATAAAATACAAAAAAATCAGCAAAGCCAAAATCTGATTCTTTCAAAAGATTAATGTTATTGTTAGGTGCCATCGAGTCAGTTTCAACTCATAGAAGCTCTGTGTACAGTGGAACAAATATTGCCCAGTTCTGTACCATCTTCATAATCATTACCATGCTAGAGCCCATTGTTGGAGCCACTACTTTTCACTGACCTTGTATGTTACCAAGCATGATACCCTCCAGGGACTGGTCTCTTCAGGCAACATGACCAAAGTATGAGAGACAAAGTCTGCCCTCTTGCTTCTAAACAGCATTCCACCTGTACTTCCTCCAAGATAGATTTGTTCCTTCCATCAATTCTTTGGTCTTCCTTATTTATGATCCTCCTCTCATATATAGATAGATAGATAGATA